ATCTTCTAAAAATATCTACAAATAATATTCTCTAAAGCTAATGTTCAATAAGATATAAAGAATTATTCATCTAATCAAATTATAATATGAAGCAACCAATAATAAAATTAATTAATATTCTACTAAAAGTTCATATCACAACAATACATATTTTCTTGTTAGTAAGGAAAATAATAATATAATAACTAAGATATTAAAGATAATTTATTAATTTGAATCTTGTTGACTTTCTCATTATATATTATATAATCAAAATAATATAGAAATAAATAGCATTACAAATATCTTTCCTGATATTACATGTAATAAATAAAATTATAATATTATTCTTTGTACTATATATATTATGTAAATATGATTATATAAAATTTATCATCTAGTGATATGTAACTAAATGATCTTAATCATGCATAAAAAGATGAGTATTAATTGTAAAGAGATTATTAAGAACACTATTATTATCTATTCTATTTCTGAAATTATTTATTATATTAATAATATAGAAAAATAGATACTTTAAACATGCTAACACTCTTCTTTTTTATTATAGATCATCTTAATAAATCTACTAGAATTCTATCACAGCAAACTCAAGAGAATAATAGCAAAAAAATACAGATTAATAGGTGAGATGCAATTTATTATATGATAATTCTCTTTAAATTTTCTGAACTTACTAGATTACATAATAAATTATATTTTTATTATTAATAATCTGTTCTTTATTATATAATTTAGAAACATATTTTAAAATTATTAAACTTGATGACAAGAAATAAATCAATTCAGAAAAAACAGCTCTTAACTTTCATCAAAAATATATCTTTATAATTGATCTTAATAATGAGATTCTTGAACAGATACATAAGTTTCTCTATCCCATTCAAAAATTAATTATAAGTAAAACTGTAGCTATGAACGCAAGAATAATGAAGAGAAAGTTACCATCAGATCTATAAATATTCCAGTGTAATTATATATTTTTTCATTGTTATTTGCTTTTATATCAACACATCCTTCATTAACATATTTTCAGTTCTAATAAGCTATTAATGGTTAAGATTTGAAATAAATTCTAATAGATGTTTGAAGAGATTAGTTTTGAAGTATATAAACATCATGAAATGATTGAGCTATCTGAGTTAATTCAGACTCAAGTAGAAAAAGAAGCAGAGATATGAAGACTTCAAATTGGTAAATTTATGAAAAGGATGCAGGACAAGTATTAGGAAATTGAAAATGAAGGTGATGTAGAAGCAACTAAGATATTTATTATATGTTTAGATAAATCATTAACTTCAGTTTTTAATAATAAAAAATATTAAATTTAAACAATTACATATATATAATTATTATTATACATTTGCTATAATTATCTCCGTATTTCTTAATTATTGTTAATTTTTTGTATTTGCTAATTGTCTTGTTCACTATTATTATCCGATAACCAATAATTACCTTTCACATGATACGAATGAATCACATGATACGATCCGGATCGAATTCTATGTCACGTGAGACTACCGGCTTTAGTGGACCCCCAGATATGTGGTGCTTGACTGACTAAACGGCTTGCCTTGCTTTAACGCTCCCCCAAGTTTGGGAATATGACACAACGTGCATTTATAATGTATGCATTTATGGGACATTTATGGAGGGTGCATTTATGGAAGGTTGACTGTAAGCTTTTTTTTGTGTAGTGACTGCGTGAACTACTCATAGCAATTTTTTGTAGTTCTTCTCTTTTGTACGCGCTTTGATAACTTTAATAAGTTATCTTCGTAACTGTTCTTTTTCTCTCTTGCTCCTTTTCCACGAGTTTGTTGACAAATTCGCTAACTTTTCTTTGCTTAATTAAAGGCTTGATTTTGTTGTGTTTTTTTTAATGATATCTTTATTGATCGTTTCACTAAAAAGTGGCGTTAGAACAATGGGAAATCCAACAAGGTGTACGACGGGTATTTGGAAATCTTATGAATCTCGGCATAGTTATTCAACACGTTATTTTCGCCAATTTGATCTAAAAAAATCTCAAGATGAACCACAAATTCTGTTGGAAGCGGTGAAAAAACCTCAACAAAAAGATCAAAAAGACGAAGAGAATTTAGATCCAGTATTCTTGGGTACTTGACCAATTAATTATCACTGTCATTCATGAATAATTCCAATAATCTCTTGCTATTAACGTTGATAGAACCCGAAAGAATTCAGCCAACACACAACGTAGTAGTCTGCGACCTAGAACTCCGATCATACACTATCGGTCCTATGGACTTTTACATAGATTTTATCCGCCGCGCGGCATTTGTACTTGGAATACCATGTTCTGGGCCTGCTTATCTCCCAAAACAGATCAAACGATGGGCGGTTCCCCGTGGTCCATTCATTCATAAAAAAACTCAAGAGAACTTTGAGCGAATCACGCATCGTCGAAATTTACGACTACGCGATGCTAATATGACACTGATTGATCGTTGGCTGTATTATGTGGCGAAGAATGCGCCGGCCGGGATTGGGTTCAAAGTGAAGAAGTGGCAGTGGGAGGAGATTGGAGTCGGGATGAGGATGTTTGAAGAGGCTAGAGGAAAGGAAAGGGTGTTGTTGAAGAATGTAGTGGATTATGGGGTTGTGAATGGTGGTGATGGTCAAAATGTAGTTTTTGATGCTGCGAAAGAAATTATTAAGGAGATTGAATGATGAATAAAGTTTGATGTTGCAAATTAATAGTAGTTGCAACATAAGTGCCGCAACTAGTGTTATCAATCGGTAGAGTTAATAATTGTTTAGTTAGTTGAATTGCCAACTGAACAATTATGATTTTTAATTGATAACTATTCGATTATACAATTAATCGATTAGTTGAACAATTGCAATTAATTGTAATTGTTTAGTTACAGTTAATAATTGTCTTAATTGTTACAAAGGACAATTTCAAATTTATTCATTCAATTTTTTCTAAATGTCTAAAATTAAAAGACCCTTAAAACTATGCAAAAATGTCTCAAGCATTTATTAAAAAGATCATTTAAACCACATGATCAAGAATATCAGTATTATTTAAAACAACGTATATTAGACTTACTTCTTTCTTGTACTCTTCCTCTTTCTATGGCTAATACTAGTGGATTTAAAACGTTTTGTACTTCACACTTGATCCTAAATTCGAAGTTCCTTGTGTAGATGTTTTAAAACCTATGATTTTGATATACAATATACAATTGGATAAGTATACTTATTAAAAATAAGATTGCTAAATGTGAGATTTAACTTGACATGGTAGATTTTCATACTGCAGCAGAAATTCTTGAAAAATTACAACAAAATTAAATTAGTTCGAGAAAAAATTATTATTACTGATAATGATAATAATATAAAATCAGCTATATCACAAGTAAATGCAGAAGTAAAAGAAATAATTACTATAATAATAATAATAATTTCAACAATAATAATATTTTT